GCAACCAGTAAAACGCCTTTTGGGCAAAGAACGAGCGAGCGAGATAGTGAGCCCTGCACGTGCGCAAGGGCGAGCGGGTACTTCCAACGGGCTTGTGCAAAGCACCCTTCTAACCGGTCGCTAGCGGTGTGCCAAATTTGAACGCAATCGGCCCAGCCGTTCCTGAGATCTGGAAGCGGCATTCTGCACGTGCGCACGTGCAAGAGGGGTCCAAACTGACTTTTGCACGGCACCCTACTAACTGGTCCCCAACCGTGTACCAAATTTGAGCGCAATCGGCCCAGCCGTTCTCGAGATCTGGGAGCGCCCCCTGCACGTGCGCACGTGCTGTAGCACCCCAACCTTAACACATGCAGATGAATTATCTGATGGAGACCTAACTGTGTACCGAGTTTCAATTCAATCGGCCCAACCGTTGTGCCGTTATTGAGGTTGCAATTTTGGGGGTTCTTAAAAAATGTCCAACTTTACCACGCGCCACGTGCGGTGGTTGGCAAGAACGCATGGTGGCCATCACACCACAGAACTTTTACGTCCAATTGACATTCAGTAAAGAAGACCGCTTGTCAATTGGATGTCCCGTTCCTAAGATATTAGCGTTTGAAAAGCGTCCCCACGGCCGGCCGGCCGGCCGGCCGCTCATACTCAGGATTTTCCCTTAATTCAGTATGAACTCGCTCGCTCGCTGCGCTCGCTCGCTCGTAATTAGTGCAACCCTGGCAGATAGCTGCTAAGAGACACACTGAACCTGATCTGATTGGACCAAATATGCACCTAATCTGTACCAGATGTGCACCAAATGTGTACCAGATGGCCGTCGTGAAAACGGCTATTGGTAATCAACTGCTGCTTATATAATAGGTCGTTTGTTGACCTTTTAGGACAGATCAACAGTCAACTTTGGACGAGTCGGAGACGGGGTATTAGCTGTGTCACTGGTGTTACATTACGATGCACACGGTCGTCTATTTACAATCACTCTGAGGCCTTACTCTGTGACCTTCAAACAATAATGGAACACTAGAAGAATGATTTGCATTCGTATCCAATTGGCCGGTTATGTACATACGTACTTCAACGTCAAATAGCCTAAAAACAGTATAGGTTATTTAATCTGAGGTACACCACTATGCTGCAGTGAAAGGTTTTCATGCTGTCTCTATTAAAGGTCTTGCGTCTTTTTGAAACTGTAGTTTTCAGCTGTAGTTTTGACGTCACATGACATTGCGCGTATGTTATGACAATAAAGTGTCATAGTTTGTTACGTAGATGGACACCTACCATGATATAAACATTTGGACTTAATTATTGGAAAGGTGTGGCCATGTAATTATAGTATTAGTGGTTACTGGTTACACTGGTAGTACAGAGTGTTCCAAAAAAGTGAGCCCCCAACTAAGATCGACTTTATCTCTGCAACCGTGCATCTTACAGCTTTGGGAAGCCACTCATTATAAAAGCAATTAAATTCCATCCAGATAGGTCGTAATTCCGTTACAAATCTTGCACAACACGGCCTGCATGGTCAAAAGTACAATTCAACACCAAATTCTTGGTGAAACATTTAGCGGTATCGGATATGGTCGAACACATGAGGCCTGTTTCACTAACAAATAAAGTGTGTAATTACAAAGAAAAAACTTGAGTTTAAAAGAAATAATTACCAACATTTGAAATTTCGATTTCACGAAACCTTCGGGCATGAATTTTGAGTTTAAAATTTACCAACTTTTTTACAAGAAAAAAGTTTGTAAGAAACATCGAAATCGCAAACTTTCTGTTTCACGAAGACCAAAAACTTGAAAGAAAACGTTGTACTTACAAACCCGAAATTCCAGTGGCCCTTACGTTTGGAATTTTATTACTTTTTGTGCAATGATGCAAAGCAATCAATTATTTAAAACAAATATGATATGCTGAGTCATTATATGCTCTTTTTCACTTAGCACATTCCCTACGAACCAGCTACGAGCAATAAATAAATATCGTCATGTTTTGTCATTCGCGCGCCATAATTGCATTCAACAGTCTTCTGCTGTCAAATGTTTTACGTGTTATTTTCTTTCAATAATAAGATATTGTGAACTATCATTTATACCATTCAGAAACAGCATCATTATTTTTAATTTATTCCTGCAATTTCTGACATCAATACTAGACATAGTTTGATAAAAAGAAGCAATATCTGTAACATGTTATAGTTCTTGATTAAAAACAATTTTACTGTTTACAAGTTTATTTACCAACTCTTTTTATCGGTGGTGCCGCTGGTGATGAAGTTTAGTGAAATCCGATTTTACATAGTTTGCAAAAATACTTATGAATTGTAAAGTTCAAACACTTGTAATCGCAAGTTTTTAGTGAAACAGGCCTCAGACTGCATATTTCAATTCACGTGTGATTCATTCATCGCACGTGAATTTTATTGAAAACTGAATGGGTGAGCTAGTCCAACCAATATCTCAGACCACTCCAATACAAAATAAAATGTTGTGCCTTCAGCAATACACGTTTACCACCGTCACCGTGTTTCATCCGGTCTCTCAACACATTTTGTTCTGGTCGTTCTCGGTGTAATATGTATTGATTTAGAGCCACACCAGGTAGGCTCTTAGAACCGAACTTGACGGTTCTTTCCAACAAGGGGTCTCTCATTATCGTAGGACATACGGTTTTGTAAACACAAGCAATATTAATTAGGGAGCTCACTTTTTTTGAGCACCCTGTACTAAGTGGTTACGCCTGATTTGTGGATTATCCATGATAGTGATACAATACAACAACACAATTGCAATACAATAAATGTTGTGAAAACTGAAAATGCCGACGCTTATAAAGCATATGCGTGCGTTCGTTCTTTGTCGGTATTACGACAGTACCGCACTCGAGCCGTGGTAACCACGCATATAAGCAAGCAAGTATGGACGTCATGGCTGCACAAAAAGTGGCATGTGTTTGGTCGTGATGGACTGGAGTATTCTCCGAGGTTTCATGCCCACGATGGCTGAAAATAAGGATACAAATGAGGAACTTGCCGTGGATTTGCCTCTAGAGTCTTACTCTTCATTGATTTCCTCTTCAGGCGTCCCTATCCACCTATACGGCAATTGAATCTTGAAGGTGCGCTGGGATCCCTTTGTTACATTCTACTCTCTTCTGCTCCTTTCCCGGTCATTCTGACCTGCGGCGTTATCAGACGACAGACATATTGCGTCTCAGCCCGGACTTGTGCCACCCTGGCTCTGGTCGACCGTCAATATTCGATGGAAATGTGTAAGGTGGAACCAACAGCCGGGCGGGCGGCCGGACTCGTGCCCCGGGCGGTATATCTGAACCATGGGCAGTGGTGGAAGATCGGTGACGCCGTTTCCATTAGACATAGCTGTTCCTTCGTTAGGTGAACTTCCAGTTAGGGAAAAGGAGCTAATGCATAATGAAAACACCGAAGCACGAATTCGATGTAATGTTAAGTGTGTGTAATGTTAAGTGTGTCTAATTAAGTGCATAGTATAATGTAAAGGTTAACAATAGTGGAGGAGCTTATTCTACAATATGCAGTTCAGGCATTCGTGTATTGTGGTTCATTCCTTCTATCGACCGCCTAAAATGTGCTGACATAAAAGGCGAAATGACTATTCATAATAAAATAGATATTGCAACATGCGCATGCTTTCTAACAAATTAATGTGCACTACATTTATCAGTGCCAGATCAAACGTATTTCGTACCATACAGCGTGCACGTAACGCGCCATCATGTCTGTTTTCAGTAACCATGGTTACCATAGAGTTTCGTCATTGTGCACGACTGCAATAAAGCCTGTTGTTGAAATCAACACGTCGTGCGGTCCATTAAGCCGGGCAGCCCCAAACTCATGCTGTTTTTATATTACATGAATTCAAACGGTGTTACGGTGCAGCCGACATTTACTGCGGTAGTCATGGTGAATTTATAAAGTAAAGATCGTAACAGAAAAAATCGTCAAATGAAAGAAAGCATTAGCTGGATTTTGAAAGATAAGTCTTTTGACATTTTGAAGTGACCGATCAATTGTACCTATCAACATTCTACCGACATTACGCCGATAGTGTCAGGTATAGGTCCGTACATACATGCGCTTTTCACAACCGTAGCTGCAAAATGCTTTTGAAAACCACACTGAGTAAGTTTCATCGAGTAAAAGTGTCGCGTGGAAAGTGCATATGGGAGAACTCTCACGAGTCTAACAACAAAACAAATGCAGAAAAAATGGGGAAAAGGGAGTTGCGGCGAGAAGTGTGGGATGATAAGCGATTAAACTGCGGGGTAGATGTAATGGCCTTGGATGTAATGAGTGTCAAATGAGCAGCAATATACAGCCGATGTGAAATCTCATTTGAGAAAAAACACTAAGCAATTGACATTTTTAGGCGGTTTGTCGATATTGATCATTTTCACCTTCAAAAGGAAATACACATTGGTTGCATTGCTCAGATGCAGCGCATTTCTGGTGACTGGTTGCAGTTGAAAATAAATATGTTACTGTTTTTAATATTGAAATTTGCTCTTAATTTTTCTTAAATCATGAGTATGGAGTTAAAAATAAAAATTTTGTTCCATTTAAGGCTCAGTTGAATATGATATCAATGATCTAGAGAGCTAAACAAATGACGAAATATTCCCATTTTTTAATTTGCCTTGAACCACCTCATTCGACTACAAACGAGTGAAACAGACACAATCAACACATGCATCGCGTGAATGCTCAGTTTTAACTTTTGTCTTATACCGTTTGCGTGGGAAATATGTAATACTCTTACGCAAGTTCAAGGTTACACCACACCTGAACTGGCATGTCGCCTTATTTTGGCACTCGGATGTCCGCATGGCCGATGCCCTCACTCCAACCCGAGTTACTCGGCATAGTTATGGTGACGGCCAGGTGTTTGACGCACGCGCGGCGGGTCGGCGAGTCGGGGGCCGGCGCGTGCCGCCAGGTCAGAGGCCCCGGCTCGGCCCGGTGTTGCTACACCACTCCGCAGCGCTCGCTCGGTGGTGCACCATGTCGCTGGTGCCACTGGTGCTCGTCCTGTGGGCGCCGCTGTCAGCGGCCCTACACACCAGCGTCGCCGGGCTGCCGTCGGAGAGTTTCCAGCTGCGTTCTGCCCCGTGGCTGAATGGCAGCCGCGGCTTCGTCACCGAGAGCGGCGCCGTCTACAGGCGCCTGACCGCGGACTCGCTCTGTAGGTATCAGGGGTCAGCCGGAGATGGAGCAACTGCACCTACACCCGCGCACGGCTAGGCTCCTGGCCCAACCTCCAATTAAGTTCACTGAATGTTCTGCATACAGTCGACAGTTATTTTTAGCTCTAAAGCCCGCTGAGGTGCTTAACCCTCGCCGGGTCAGAGGGTTTGATGCAGCCTCCTTAAGGTTTTTCGCAAATAACGTAAAAACGACGGCGTGTAACGCCGCCAAATTTAGCATAGCCTCTGGGGCAGCCTTTTGGCACCTTACCTACCTTAAAATTTCAGGTCTCTGTCATTTCAGGCCAGGTCACCAGGTCACCAAAGGCTAGAGCTAGAGCTAGAGCTTCAAAAATGGTGTTATTGTGGTCCATGTGGTCAGCCGAATCGAATGATATGTGATAGATGCAATTTGGTTAACTTGAACTGCTTGAACTTAATTATAACTCATTTAAGTTTACTTGAAAATTAGGGAAATTTTAAGTTTATCTTAACTTGTAACAAAGTAAACCATTTGATGCGCACGGACGTGCTGAGTTCACTGGGGCTTTTATTTTTGCTCTATCTTAATTAGATCAAAAGTTAGAAGCGAAAAAACTTTTTTTCCTGTTTTAGCGAAATTCTTACATTTATACCCCCAAAGCCCCCTCAAATATTGACCTAGAGCAGCCATGTTGCACAGGGGCGAGATCTTTTATGGGCCCACCTACCCTGTAAATTGGCGTTTCTAAGTGCCATAAGAGCCAATCGCTAGGGGGGGTCGTACCCCCCTAGCGGGGGGCCCCCACCCCCTGGCCGTCCGCGTTATGAAAAAGGCCCTGGCCTGGCGAGGGTTGATTTTGCATATCATTGGACTCGGTTGATCATTAGGAACAGAATTACTTTGTTTGTTTTTTTACCTCTTTCCTTATCACGTTATATGCAAGTTTTTAGCAAAAACGCCATTTGACTACAGCTGACCTTAGTTGACGGAGCAAGTTGGCCTTAGATCAATAACATGTAATATAGTAAGAAGCTGGATTATAGAATATGGGAATCAGGGCACTAAAGAGTCATGGGAATATGGGAATATGGGATAAGGGAATAACAAGAAACTGGATTACTTATATGTTTTAAACACCGGCGCTCTCAAGTCTCAGCAACACCTAAAAGTTTCAATCAGTGGCGGTGGAACACCTTCAATTAAAGGGGGGGGATCAACTTTTGGTTCCATTCTTTCCATGCCCGCCCAAAGGGGGGGAACGGTTCCCCGGTGCCCCCCCCCCCCCTGTTCCGCCATCTATGGGTTCAATGCAATCGAAGCGAGAGTGTACAGCCTGTCTTAAAAGTACCGCGCAAAGTGACGGTGGATCCATCGAGCCTGACTGAGGAAGGACCTGCTAAATTTGGGTCATCGAAGCAATTGACATCCTCGTCCATTCCCTAGGTCAATTGGTCGGTGACTTTCAAACTAAAGCATGCCCTTTCTCGGTCAGGCTTGATGGATCCACCGTCACTTTGCGCGGTACTTTTAAGACAGACTGTACATAGGCTGGACACCTGCGTCAAAACTATTCAAAGCTTTTTTTGCACCATGTACTTGCCTACTTGTTTCTGTGATGAGTGTGGCCTGTGACCTTACAATGTCATTGGGTTGAATTATTGAAGAGTTTAGTGGCTTGCAGAGCCCGAGGTGTGCATAACCTAAATGTTGATGTGGTTTTATTTTGACCTTATCTTTAACGAAGAAATAGTATGCAGTGCTCCAGCGAGGAACATCTTGATATATGTACTATGTAGTTCGAATTTCAAATGTCTTTTTCCTCGATAATTAATTGGAGATGGAATAAAAGTAAATATTTGACCTTACAATGTCATAAAACTTATTGTATGGCAAATTGTCGAACCACAGTTCATTCTCAAGCCACATTAAAACGTCAATTTTCATGTGGCTTGAGAATGATCTGTGTTTCTAAAATTTTCCAAACAATATAATATTTACTTTTTATTGCATTTCAAATTAATTATCAACTACGTTTACAATTTCAACTACTTTTTCTGTCTAATTATTGAGGAAAGGGTCATTTGAAATTCTAGCTACACTTATCTTTAACGTTCTAAGAGACCTCGAAGTAGCCAAATTAGTTTCTGCTTGATAATTTTTTCCCGGGCCATCCAGAGCCGTTTCAATTTTGTGGATCGGACCTGTAGTTTGAGAGGTACATTCATGCACGGCTTCTAAAAGGGGATTGCCTTATGAAAAAATTAAAAGTAGCTTTTACTAGTCAAGCGCAGATTATTGATCACAAAGGCACATTCATTTAACCCGCGCCCTGATGGGGTCTGCAGAGCAACGCGGTCTGATGGGGGGGGGGGGGGGGCATTTTGCCCCCCTAAGATTTGCATGACAGGACTTAGAATAGACTGCGCTATCAAACTGCTATCTCGAATGTTCAAAATTTCGAAAATTTTGAAAATTATTAATATTAAAATTCAAAATTTCTATTTTTATACTTTTTCAAAAACTTTTTGATTTTTTGAAGAAAAAAAACGGATCATACCATGATAGAACACATGCTAATGACTTACTCTAGCAAGTTTTAGCCAGATATCTTTAAAAATGGCCAAGTTATACGCATTATAGCAAAAAATTCAAAATTCTTAAGTTTTAAAATCAATTTTCTGTACGAATTTGACATCGTGCACCAATAAAAATAGCACCATTGTGTTCCTGAGCTCAAACTGCATCCGATAGACATGTTTTTTGTTGAAAAAATTTCAACTTTGAAATTTGACTTTTTTTACCTGAAAGTGACCTGACCTCAGCTATATTCAGATGAAAATGGCCTCAAATGACACAGGCGACACCGAATTCGAAATCTATGGCCTAAATGGACCATAAAACATGTGTCACGTGACCGACTTATGACATAAGATTTCCGTGACCTATGAGACCTTACCCTGACCTGAAAATCAAAGTACAAGTTTGGTACCCTCAGGATGTTTAAAGCATCTGTTCACGAGTTTGTAAACCAAAAGTCAGCCTGATCTGACTTGTAAGACGGCGGCCAGAGCCCAAAATGTGAACAAGCCAAATATCGATAATTTTTACTTTGACCTGACCTGTGACGTCATCGCTGACCTCGAGGTCAATGAAATTAGGTTTCGTTCGACAGTTTTTCCGGGGCTATCAGATGCCGTTTGAATTTTGACGATCGGCCCAGCAGTTTTGGTGTTAGGAGGGGGGCTATGAATAGCCCCCCCCCCCCAGTGGGGCGTGTTATACACAGACCCCAGTGGGGCGCGGGTTAATGGAAGAGACGGCACCAACGTAAAACACTTATGCCTTCCAAAATCGGCACAGCAGTGGATCAACAGCACTCGCATCACTATCACGTGACTTATATTTCAAATCTTCTACTACTGAGTTGAGAACTAGCCCAGAAGGGCGTGTAGCATCGAAGCTCCGCCCTGCAGAAACGGACTCCGAGACGGGGCATGACCATGTGACTTTCAGAGGCATAGGTACATACGCTAACGGCGCGGGTTAGTTCTCGACATATGCTTAAACAATAAGCATTTCAGCAACAATCCTTTCGCCCTGTAAAGAACGAACGATTTCCTATCGTGCTTGCAATAAGGCAATGATCACTAAGGTGGATGGCCATTGATGCATTTGTGTGAGTGCATTTACGATTCTGTGCATTATTGCAGGTGACTGCATGACCCAGTGTTTGGTGGACGTCGGCTGTGTAAGTCTGAGCTTCGCCACCAACTCGACCGGCCTGTGTCTGCTGAACTCTGTGCGTGGCGGCCCCCACAACACCCGGTTCGATGAAGGAATGGCTCACAGGATCCGGCCCCGTCTTGGTGGGTTTGACTTGGAACTTGCGTACAAATTATTGCATAAAGGCAGGTTGCTATTTAATTAGACAGGCCAAACTTGTTAGAATTGTCTTCTCTTTTGAGAACAATCAACAAAGGCAGCCAGAGCAGTCTTTGGGGCCGTGTGCAATCATCTACACTGCTTCACTAAATGCATAACTACATTTATGCGTGGTTCACACCGGATCCGTAATGACGCCGTAACCGTTACGGACGTAATGAGCTAGAGATTTCTCAATATTCCCCAAACATTGTGACTTTTGTAGACGAAGTTGAAATGTGGCAACCAGTCGCCGTAAACTGGCAGCGTCCACCGTACTCGTTACGGAACGTAACAGAAGTTGGGAAAATTGAACTTTTCGGCTCGACCGGCCGCCGTAATGGTCATTTCACGATGGAACCGTGCAAATTATATTAGCGGGAAGTTGCGCCATCCCTAGTCACCTCCCACCTCCGCCAGCGCCAGGTCGTGCCTCATCACGGGACAGGTAGTGCCACCTAGGTGCGCCGGGGAGAACTACGGGTCGCATAGTGCCACCAGATGTCGCGCACACACGACAGGCGCAGATATATGGAATTTAGAACGTGGGCGATATATTGTAACAGCGTTGATTTCTACCATGAATGTATTTTAGCAACTTACAGCGTGGGCGCAGGCACTGGAACCACAACGGCTACCACAACTCCACAACTGCACGTAAGTCCGACATACGACTTATGTTGGACTGGAGGCAACGCTGCCCAAGCGGCCTTTTCCGTTAGGACGCCGAGCGACGGAGTGCGCGCAGCGATTTTTTTGTCTCCCTCTGTTCTTTCTAGGGCGTCTTTCAGAAGCGCCCAGGAAGGGGTCAGGGGTCGAGGCCAGCCAATGCCAAAACACCGAACGTAATAGCTTAGCCCGGACTCACTTAGCAACCTTAACGCGAATGACTTTTATCGACATGTATCTCCAAAACGGTTTGACTGTTTGATGAGCGGTCTTCTTTGGGGAGGGGCTGCATCCTTTCTACCCTGAACTGTGCTATTGATATCACTCATGAGTGCCTGTTACAGCACGTGCCACGTGCGACGAAAGAGGTTCCAAAAGAGCTCGTCATACCATAACTCGGGAACGGCTGAATGGAAACGGTTCAATATTTATTTGTTGTTTTGGCTGGGTGCACACTACACATCCCGTGACCTTAGGACGATTTCGAATTGCCTCAGCGCGTGCGCACGTGCGCACCCCTTTTTCACATCTCGGGATTGGCTGTGCCAATCGCGCCCATATTTGGTATGCTGAATGACATCATGTTTATATGCAAATTGCACAGGTTGACAAAAGCATTGATCTGCACGTGCGCACGTGCGTGCCCCTTTTTCATATCTGGGGATCGGCTGGCCCGATCGCGTTCATATTTGGTGTGCTGAATGACACCATGTACGTACATATGAAGATTGAACAGATCGGCAAAGGCATTGGTCTGCACGTGCGCGCGTGCGTACCCCTTTTTGGCATCTTGGGATCGGCTGGGCCGATAGCGCTCATATTAACCCGCACCCCGCTGGGCTATTCAGCCATACGCGCCCTGCTGGGGGGGGGGGGGGCAGATTCTGCCCCCCTGTCTAACTTCCGAACCGATGGTCGTAGAAAGACGGAGAAAACGGCAATCGAAAGCTATCAACAAGGCGGATCTTAAGAGCCCATTTTTTTGCTAAAGTAGGTCAGAGGTCAGGTCAAGGTCAGGTCAAGGGTACAAAATGCAAGTTTCTACAGTATCGGCCTTGCACCGTAGTTGCCGAAGAATGGACTGAGACTGATTGCCCAAAACGTGTTCTTAGACTACCAAGACAATATTCGTTGCATACAATGTCATTCAAAGGTCAAGGTCAAGGTCAGGTCAGGTCAGGTCAGGTCACCAAAAACAAAATATAGAAAAGGGCATGTGCGACACATGTTTTATGGGTCATTTTACTCATAGAATTCAATAGGCACACTCAATAAGTGATATGGACCACCTCTGGATGAATTTCAGGTCGAGGTCAGGTCAAGGTCAGGTCAAGTGAGGTCAAATTTTGAAGTTGGTCGTTAAGGCCTAAAAAGGTGTCTATCTGATGCAGTTTTTCACGGCAAATCGAATGGTGCTATTTTTGTTTCCGTACGAGGTCTAGAACTTCCAAAAAAAATCATTTTTCATTTTTTTTGTGTGTCGTGACGTCATAAAATGTTTAATAACTCCCACATTTTTGAACCGATTCTTCTAAAAATTGGTATGTAGGTGCACATAGACCACTTCTCTGACACATAGTCCGTTTTTTTTCGATACACTCAAAATTTTGGATTTTATCAATATTTTCCCAAAAAAGTCAGTTTTTTGAAAAACTTTGGGCCAAAATCCAAAAAATCCAAAACACCGAGATAGCCATTTGATAGACAAAGTAGAATCACGTATAACCTTTTTTTGTTACGTCTTGATTCCTTTAAAAATGAAGATGTTAGCGGCGTTTGAAATTTTGCCGTTTTTAGGCGAAAATGGCGAACATGACGTCACTAAAACGTCAATTTCTCAAAACTTTTCCGACGGATTTCGCTCAAATTTTCAGGGAACGTGTCAAATTGATGTATAATAAGGTACTGAAAGTTTGACGTTGCTGGCGTAACGCGCTTAGAAGTTATTGGCGAAAAACGGGAGGGGGGGGGCAGATTCTGCCCCCCCCAGCGGGGCGCGGGTTAAGTATGCTGAATGACACCAAGTTTATTTGCAGATTGCACAGGTCAGCAAAAGCATTGATCTACACGTGCGCACGTGCGCACCCCTTTTTCATATCTGGGGATCGGCTGGGCCGAAAGTGCTTATATCAAGTATGCTGAATGATAACATGCTTATATGTAGAATTCACAAGTCGGCAAAGGTATTGATCGGCACGTGCGCACGTGCGCACCCCTTTTTCATATCTCGGGATCGGCTGGGCCGATAGCGCTCACATTTGGACTTTGGTATGCTGAATGACACCACGCATATAAAGTATGCAGATGGCAAAGGTCAGCGAGAGTATTGGTCGGCACATGCGCACGTGCCCACCCCTTCTCACATGTTGCGATTGATTGGGCTGGTCTGGGTAGCGGGTAGCGGTCTGCTCGTGTGCAAGTGCGGACCTTTCTACTTGAAAAAAAAAATCGTATCAACTCGCCGACTGATTTTTAGGCATTATTTCATGTAGGTATGCCTTCAGTATGTCACAACCTACTTTGTATCTCTTGAGTGACGTACATAAAATTCATGTTCCGTAATTACATTTCACTCGTTTATTTAAAGATAACATTTCCTTCGTAGGCCTAGCCTAGCCCTAATCATGTAGGTATGTTACAGGTCAAGTTCAAAGTCCACAAGATAAATTCCAATGCATAGATTCTCGTGCCACGTCTTTTATGCAGTTCTGAGTCAACTTCGCTGCCCATATTGCCCCTGCTAGACTTGATGCTTGGACTGACACTGCACCGCCTCTTCGCAAGCCAATTGAGCAAACTGTACGATGCGTACGTTCATCTTGCCCATGGATAGCAGCGATTCACGAGTGTAGAAAATGAACTTCAGCGTTGACCAGCATAGGCACGTTTTCTTGTTTATGCCAAAAAAGAATAAAAGATTCTCTGTATAGTATCATGCCCACAATTGTAATTAAAATTCTGACGCACCGATATTAAGAAACAGCTCTTAGCTTTAGCCCATTTTTCGATTGTTTAAGCAAAATACACTGTAAAAAATATTGACTAGCCCCTCGTCAAATGATTCTCAACGCTAAATGTCGGGGGTACAGACTAGTTTTGCATCCTACTTTTGACACACGCTGCGAGCCCCTGGCTTGTTTTGTGTTCGTCAGATGACAGTTACCAGGTGTCGGTTAGTTTTTACCACGTCCCAAAAATAGCTGGAGCGTTTCTGCCTTAATTTGGAAGCAGGTCCTCGTTAATGCTGTGTATGATAACAAAGTACCTAGTAACAATAATAACGAAAAACAATGTCAAAACGAGGGCGGCTTGTTTAGTGACGATGTTCAAAAGAAGCATCGTCTTGTTCCTACTTAACGAATGAAGCTCAAACTAGGTCAAAACTAGGGGCCCAACTAGGCCCTAATCAACCCATAGTCAGATGACCAGCAGATCCTACGCCGCCCAATCCAGTCATCGAATTTGCCAGCGAATTCGTTTGAAGACCATCATATTATTAAATATCGGTGGTCTTCAAACGAAATCCCTTACCAGTTTGATGACGAATTCATCCGGCCCATTCCAAAAACCCTCAAGATAAAATGAAAGTGTATTTCTGAAATAATGTGCTTTCTTGCAATGCACCTTTCGTATATCAAGCGAACCTTTCACTTCCAGTGCCCGTTTACAGTTATCAATCGAATCAGAAGCATGCACATACCTATCGATAGATCTGAACCTAAGAACACAGAAGACATTTTGTAGAGTACCTGTCTGAGCCTATGCAGTGGAGCCCACACTGTAAACCAAATCTACAAGTTGGCTCCTTGTTACAAGTTTGGTTCCAATTCGCATAGGCGTCACCTTGTCGATTCACCAACCCCAGGCTTGTTGGCCACCAAACTAACAGTTTGTCTACAAGTTTGGTTCCAATTCGCATAGGCGTCACCTTGTCGATACCTTGTCGATTCACCAACCCCAGGCTTGTTGGCCAACAAACTAACAATTTGTCTACAAGTTTGGTTCCAATTCGCATAGGCGTCACCTTGTTGAGTACTAGCCTGGGCCTTGTGGACCTACCAACTTCTGGATAGGCATAGTCGTTCCCTTGTCGGTTCACCAATCCCTGGTTTGTTGATGAACTAGCCTAGCTTTTGACTGGGCATTGCTAGCTTACAAATTGTCTAACGTAAGTGTACTAACGCTCTGTTCGAACTTGCTCTTCCTTACAATCGCTTTGTTTGCGTTGATACTTGATAACCTTAAGAACTTACGATTCGCGTTCGTTTTCAATTGCCACGATACTGATTCAGGAAATATTTTCTATACGGACAGGTTATTTTTTGGCTGGAAGTGGTGCACAAAACCATGACTGGCATCAGTTATTGCTCATGCTCAAAGGCTTGCGCTGACAAGAAACGAAATACTGATGGGTTATATAATCAATGAATGCATACACCACATCCATTCGGAAGTTTCTGGAATCATTAGTATTTATTACGGTCACGTAATTAATACTATTGACTGGAGACAATTCCGAGTGCATATTTCCGAATGGATGTGGTAAATGCATGAGGTAGGTATACCCAGTAGGTATACCTATCGTGCACCGTCAGCATATAAGTCTTTGAAGCAAGAACTGCTGCGTATGTGGAAGAACATGGTTTTGTGCACCGCATCAAGCCAGAAGTATAACATGCCCGTACGACGAATATTTCCTTAACATTAAGCATAACAATCATGGCAGTTGCACGATGACGCAGATAATTCGAATAAATCATGATCGCCAACCAGATTAGCTTTT